CATCTATTAATATAATAAAATATATCTATTAATATATAGTATATTCATTGATTTTAATAAAATTATGTTTTATAACTTTAAAGGCTTCAAACAGGAATGAGGGGTGCTTTTGGTAAACCACAAGGTACTGTAGCTAGAGTACATATTGGACAACCCATTATGAGTGTACGTTCATCTGATCGTCATAAGGCTGCTGTAGTTGAGGCATTACGTCGTGCGAAATTTAAATTTCCTGGTCGTCAAAAAATTTATGTTTCAAAAAAATGGGGATTCACCAAATATGATCGTGCTGAATATGAAGAACTAAAAGTAGCTGGTCGTTTAGCTCCAGATGGTTGTAATGTTAAATATTTGCCAGAACATGGACCTCTTGAGGAATGGAAGAAATTCAGAAAAGTTCTTGTTGCTGTTTAAACAAAAAATAATTTTTTGAACTTTGATTTCATTAAACAAATTGAAACCAAGTACATCTGTTATTAATCTTATTCCATAATTTTTCTATTTTAATATCATATTAAATTTTCTAATTATTATTTATTTGTAACTTGTTTTAACTTTTTATGTAGTTGAATTTTGCATATTTATATTTTTGTGACTACTTAAAATGTTTAAGATATATTTCAATAGTTAAAGTAATTATTAAGCATTATTAATTAGCAATTAGAACAATTTTATTTTTGTTTTAAATTTTCTATATAAATTTTTACTTATAATTTATCTATATAGAATTCTTAAATAATTAATCAAACGAAAATGAATACAGAACAAAATCTTTTTTAATTTATAATGTTTGTAATTTTATTTATAATTTATAATTAAAATTTCACAGAAAAATGAGCAATTTCATACTATAAAAAATAATTAAATTAAATACATATTTTAAAATTGGTATTATAATTAGATATTTTTAAATAGAAATATTTATTTTAATGTGAGTGACATGTAATATCAGCATCATTTTCAGTTTCTGTATTCTGAATTTCGTCATCAATATCTATATCACATATTCCGTGACTATGTGCATCAAGTGCCTCTGTACTAGTCGCTGCGTCTAATAACGGAGATAATTTCTCAGCTTCGCTGTCTTCATCCTGTCCTTGCCCCTGAAAATACTAATTTATTTAGACTACAAGATAGAAATTTTTATTTCCAATATCTTATTAAAAATTTTGTAAGGTGTAAAAAATATTGAAAATCAAATATTGGTACCTCATAAAGAGAAACGGGTTGTTTTTCATTAACAAGCCTAAGAGTATCCCGTGATCGTAATACTGCTTTTTCTCGTAAATGTCCAGAAGTTTTCATTCTCATTGCTGGTGATCGATTATGCAGGTCTTTCTGTGATCCTGAATGTTCATCTCTAGCTAGTAAAACAGACATTCGAAACTCTGGTGTAGGACATGCAGTACCACTTGTTCTTGCAGATATATCTGCTTCTTTTGAAGCTACATGTTTTGATACAGGTGTACGTTCTACAGACCTTTTAAATAACATATAAATTTAAATCGCTTATATTAAAGTAAATAAAATACAATTTAAAGAATTAAAACAACTTATTATTTTACCTATTTAATGCTTCAGCTGCTTGAATTGCACTCGCTGTATCTGTATCAGGAGTATCTGGAGATTCTGGAGCAAGAACAGCAGTTCTTGGAATATATGGACCATTCAAAGCTTCTATCAATGACACAGCTTCATATCCGGCTGGTATATTTTCACAACTTCCCTAAAAAAAAATTTAACACTTTGTTAATCAAATAAAACCAATCTATTGTTTTCAATTAACTTTCATACAAAAACTATCATAAGAAAGAGGAAAGATGTTTAATATGAAATAAAATATAACAATACAAATCACACATATACATATGTGCACATATACTAATATGTATTATGTTAGTAATTACTTGCTTAAGTAAATATTGACCTCTGGTAATGGTGGATTTGATATAATAGCTCCAGTTGCTTTTTGAAGAGCTTTTATTTGAAGAAGAGCCCTAAAAGGAGCTCGACATATTGGACAATTATTTGCTTGATATCGAAGAGAATCTGCACAACTATTACATAAGCATAAATGTCTACATGGTAGTATTAAAGTATCTCGTACATCGCACATACAAATAACACATTCTGATCCATTATCATCTGTATCTTCATCACTACCTTGTTGCTAATAAATAAATTATTATAAAACAAGTAATGAAAAATAAATAATTTTAATTGCATATTAATATCTTATACCTTTGCATTTTCAGCATTTTTATTTTCGATCCCATATATTTCTTGAAGCAAATAACATAGACCATCAACATAGAGCTTTTGTTTAAGGGCCTTTAATACATAGGTTCCATCTGAATGTTTTTCAACAACTGCAATAGTTGTATGAGATTGTTTTGGTTCCTCTGAGCCTTCTTCTGCTACACAATGTATTGCTATTGGTATTACCTTTAAATAATTATAATGATTAACATAAAATATTTAAAAGCTATACAAATATAAGGTAGGAATATTTTAAACGTACATACTTCCCTATCAGCGTTATATAATAAATCTTCTTTGCTATAAACTGTTGGATCAAACATATGTGATGTTTGAGAAAATAACTGATTAGCACCTTTCTTATAATAATATGTTTCAGAATTCATAGATGAATCTCTTGGTATGTATCTATAAATCATATTACATTTCTAATTATAATACAATACTCCATATAACATGTAAAATTTTTATGGTATATGTATTACATACGTAACTCCCTTTGTTGTTATTTCTTCAGTGCAAAAATAATATATTGTAATCGCACATCTTACATCACAATCAAATGTAAATTCAATATTATAACGATTTGATTTTTTATTTATATCACTATCTCCATAATGCTTCACAGTATGACACTGTGGTGAATTGGTAGTTTGATCAACATTACGAACTAATCTCAATGATTCCCGTCTTATATTTACTAAACTTTTCAATGTTTTAGTAGGATCATTAGCTTGTGGTGGAGGATATGGAAACTAAGGTAAAAATGATTTTTTAAAGATGATATATATATTTATATAATGTAATAATATTATCTTTCTTACAGGTGTTGGGCGACTTCCTAAAAAATTCAAATCAGCATTTTCTCCAAAAAGATATGCTTCTGGTTGAGGTGTATCAAATCGTTCACCACCCATTATAAAATGACTACCAAAATAACTTCCTAATACATAAAATTTATTGAATAAAATACAAAAAATATTTTAATACATAACATGCATTTAAATATATAATTTATTAAAACAAAAATGACAATTTATATTTTCATGTTTTTCAAAATCTTATTTAAAATAATAATAATTTAATGCTTTAAAAATATTTATAAAGTAATATAAACAAACCCGAACGAGGAGGATATTTATATGCATGATTTGAAACAATATCGACTTCTTCAACACCAGCGTTCTGTCGACTTGATAATGAACCCATTGCTTAAATATTTTAAAAATAATAATCAATTGTTACTGTAAGATAAATTTTTCTGTTGCATACAATTAACAATACGATTTTTCTGCAATAGATATAGACTATAAGTGGATAAAAGAAGCCACATCTATTAAATAACCGCCTTGTAATTTCTATAATTTTAACAAACGATTTCTGCAATTAACACAATCCTTTGTATATAAAACGTATAAAATGCATTATATACATATTTTCCAGGTTAGCCAATTTTATTAAAATATTTATTTATTTAAATTTTATGTTTTATCTAACACATTTATTAGAAGTAGTATTAATATATATTTTATGAAAACAAATTATGTTTTCCATTTATGAATTAAAAGTAAATCGAAATGTGTTCTTAAAAAGTATGATAAATTTATACGTATGTTTCTCAGACTGCTAAGATTAAACGCGCTATTTCAAACTTTTAATGCTGTAGTCTGCAAACTTTATAGTTGACGTTTAATAACGCATAAGTATTCACGTTGTTATATTTGTATGTAATATAAGTTGTAATATTTCTTTAATAATTGTTACAAATATTTAGTACAATTTGTAATTAAAATTAAGGAAGTGTATTGTAGTTAGTAAAAAGTGAGAGACAAATAATGGAATATAATACAATAACGTAATTGACAATTTGGCACTAAAGTTAAGGAAACGTAGCCAAATTTTTTAATGAATGCAATTAAAATAGTAAAACAAATATGAATTATATACGTATCATAACTATGCGATAGCATTTATGTAATATACAAATGTATAAAGTGTAAATAATTTTTCATCATAATGAAATTCAACGAAAAAGTGCTTGCAGATATAAGTAATGGTCCCGCTGACATTGAAGGACGTTTGAATCACAAGCGAGCACATAAGTCAGGTTAATTTGGTCAAGAGTTACTTAAATTTATTTAAAAGAATATTATATTCAATAACCTATTAACTGTGATAATTATTTATATTATAGACATATTTTTCGTATTTATTTGTAATCGTATTTACTGTATACAACAAATTAAGAGCAAATTATTTATTGAATTATAATAATATTACTGTATTCAACAAATTATTAATTCATTCAATATATTAATGTTTTTTAATATCCATGTCATTTACATTTTAGGATTCAAGGAAAAATGGTTCAAATTAAGGTGCAATTTATTGTTTTACTTTAATATTAATGAATTGGGCCAAATTGATGATAGACAACCAGCAGGTGTAATTATTTTAGAAAATTATAGTATTAATCTTGATGCTGCATCTGAGGGTGTATTTGCATTTAGTATATCATTTCGAGATGAATATGAAAAAAGACATGTTTTAAGTGCTCGTTCAGAATCTCAAGTAGAACAGTGGGTCAGTGCACTTAAACAAGCAAGTTATGAATATTGGAGGTTTCGTTTAATAATGCTTCAAGAAAAGTTATGCAAAAAGACAGGAAAAGATCCATTGCTTATGTATCCACGAAATCAAGGAATTATCAGAGATAAAGTATGGGAACCTGCCTCAACTTTCCGATCTCATGTACGTTCTTTTACTACATCAGTTGTAACATCAACCACATTAAATACAGTAACAAAAGAAATGAATTTAATCGAGTTCTAAATTAGGAAATATAATTATAATCTTTTTATGTTACTATCTAAATTTTAAATATTGTTTAGTTGTATAAAGTTTACATAAAAGTATGTAGATTTGGAGAGTTTTTATTTATTGTACCTAGTGTATAAGTTATGTTATTAGTACAACTAAATAGTTATGTTATATTATTACATAATATTTTCATTCATATTATAAGATTCGTATATATTCAATGCGTTAAGTGAAACTTTTATTATTTATTAATACAAATAAATTTTATATTCTACATAAAATAATATCAACAATAATATCAACAAAAAGAATATCAACAATTCCAAAATAATTAAACTATGATTTTTAAAAAATTGTATGTATAGTGTACTACTAATATAGTCTAAATATTTTGTATTAAAAATATATCCTAATTTTCAAATAATTTGTATTATAAAAGGGATATGAACAATTGTTTTATGGTTATAAATGCTTAGTTGCTTCATGTATAGATTTTCAAAGTATTTATAAACCAAATATTCTCTATACTTTATGATTTTTATCTATATTATAAAGTTTTGTTATATATGTTTATGACATTGAGATAATAATATTTTTTCGTATAGTATATTTAAATAGTCTACAAAATATTTTTAATAAATTCATAAATCCATTTTGTAAGTTACTTATAAAATATACACCTTCACTAATTTCTTTCTGTATTTAGTACAATCTTGTTTCTGTAAAAGGTACATGTTATATGTTATATTATGAATAATCGAAAATAAATTCACTTTGAATAGAAATAATACTAATCATTTAATATCATACATATTATATATATAATAATCATTTAATATTATTTTATACAAATAATTTGGTACACTGAAATTGTATTTAAAAAAACAGATAAATATTTGAAATTCAGTAATCATATTTTTATAATAAGCAAAGAAATAATTATTCTAAGATATATACTTGTAATTACAGTATGTGAAATTTGTAAATAAAATTGTTAGTGGATAAATATAAGAATGTTTTAATATTTTATATAAGTCCATTTTCTTTAAAAAATATGTTGGTACTACTGTTTTTAACTTTTACTACGTGTAACTTTACGTATCCACGCGGCATCAAAGAAATCGTTACAAGTGTATTACAGTTATAATTACTGTTTAATCTAATATGATTTAATCTGTGAAATTAATAACATTATTAGAGTTTTGTTAGTATAATTTATTCACAAATAATACTTAAAGCAAATTATTAAATATTAAACAGTATAATGAATCAATTTATAGTTTTTTCTATTATATTAATTTTTGGAATTTCCAAAGCTGTTAGTGAAACTTGTCAAAAGCCTGAGGTTATTGCATCTGCATATGTCACGGAAGATGCAACAATTTTAACAAATGTTGCATTTACAACACAATTTTTGCTTAAATGTAGTAATGGTGTGAAAGGTATTACATTATATGCAGAAGTTGATGGTAAATCATTACCAGCTGCTAGATTAAGTTCTGACAACAAGTACCAGGTACTGAAATGTTTCTTTTAATTTGTGTAATTAAAATAAATCTAATTAAATTTATATTATATTTATGTTATATTTGCATTATATGTGAACCATAAAAGCCTAATTGTAATTATAATGAATTCAAATTTTACAGGTTTCTTGGACAGAAGATGTGAAAAAGGCACGTTCTGGAGATTATAATATAAAACTGTATGATGAAGAAAGATACGCAGCTATACGCAAAGCAATAAGAAATGGAGAGGATCCAAGTAGTGTGAAACCTTTAGTTGTTGTAGTACTCAATAATCCAGGAATATATCGTGGACCTTGGGTTAATTCAGAACTTCTTGCAGTTCTTTTAGCTGCCTTAGTGTCATATTCTGCTTTTTCTTCAAAGTTAAAACTTCTTGCTTAAACTTATTTCATAGACAATAAATTTATTACAAAATTTTTATATAAATTAAATATTACATGATCAAATGAATCTTAAATATAATTTTGTAATTTAATTTTAATAATAATAGAATGTTGTGTACCATTAATTTAAAACCTATTGACATTAATATTAAAAAAAAAATATTGAAAAATTATTTTTTGTTAGTAAAATGTACTTGTAATAACACTCATTTTCATGTTTAATTTATTTTTAAAATAATTAAAATTATGTTAACAAAATACAGTTAAACATATAATTTAGTACATATCAGAAGTAGGTGGATTACCAAAAAAGAATTCCCAAGAAGGTGGATACTTAATACTATTATTAGTACTATCCTTTATTAAATTCAACCATTTATTTAATCCTTGGAAGAGTATCAATGCATCAGAAACATTATCTCCTTCTGAACAATAACGAAAAAGAACTGTAGAGGGAATTTGCATTGATTTAAAATGTATAAAAAGACCACTTGCAAATCCACCACCAGAAATATAATATGGATCCACAGATTCTGTTGCAATATATTTCATATGTTTTTTCCAAAGAAGACTTTCAAGAAGCTTTTCATCGTTTAATAAAGAATCGTCTGAAGTAAGATAGCTTACATTAGAGTCAGATCTGTTTACATGCTCATAACCATAACTACTGGTTAAAATTACTGCCTATAACAAAAGACTTTATATTAATATAACAATTAAATGATTAATATTATAATATTGTAGTATACCTTTTTAATTTTTTTTTCTTGTATAAATTGTGCTAATTCATTAAGGAAATCATTTGAATTACTAACACAAGGTGAACGTAATTGTAAAAGAATTAGTTTATAATATGTTCCAAGGTAAAAGTCAGCAGTAGTGCAAAGAGAACTAGAATTTTTATCATAAGGATCAAGTCCACAGATTGGGAGGAACACAGAATTCCATAAACTTCCAATTTTTTGCAAATTTAAAGTAGATATTAATAGATCGATACATAACTGTCCAACATTTCCAACAGACACCGAAGGAAGTATCAGAGTATAATTTTCAAGGTTAATTTCTTCCGGAATTTTTATCATTTTTTTTTGCTTAGTGTTGAACGAATAATCCCGTAATTAATGCAGTGTATATAAATCGCTAAATTGAAAAAAATAATTAAATAAGATCAATGCTTAGTTTTAAAATTATATCACTCTGCCTCTTAATTTTATAAATTTAGAACTTGCAAATCATCACAACAAAATATAATCACTTATTTAAATTTTTATTTAATATATTTCATATATTTATAATGTAATATATCTTCAAATAATAATACAGTTCTCATTACACAAAAATAGTAAAATTATAAACATACGCAAGTATTTAAATCCCTTAACTGACTCCTTAAGATTTTGTACGTAGATTAATAACTAAGGTTGGTACTCCTACCCTTGAACATCATAAAGCTAATTGTTAAAATAAATTTATATCGTATACTTAATAAAATATATATACAATATATTTAATGTGCATCAAATAATGTATGATGAAATAATTCATATAAGAAATTATTTTAAGAATTGTAATATAATTCATTAAATAAAATTTTTTTTATTCTTTTGCCAGTTTATCTATAACAATTGTATAAAATACAAATTTCTAAAATGTCGATATTAATAAATTATTAAAATTTGAAATACTATAATTAATAATCAAAATGTAAAAATATAAAGCTAAAATATATTTAATGCTCGATGTACAATATTTATATGTATGTGAAATTGTTATATTATTAACTAAATTTATATGCGTGTACATTACCTTATATTTTATTACGTACATTTTATTAAAATTTAATTAATTGTTAAGGAAGCGAATATTTGTAAAAAAAAAAATATTTAGGTTGATTCCCATCTAATAATTTATCTTTCTGAGTTTTGATTGGTGAAGAATAATCGGTATTAAAGTAAAGCTTGTTACCGACTGTGTATAGCGGCATGTGACGTCACACATCACCGCCCCGCGATGCCTTTCGGGAAATAGCGCCGCCATCTTGAGTGGCATGGCCCAGCTAGACAGTGCGCCCTGAGCCAAGACATGCGATTTATCGCGAAAACATTGGACATCCCAAGAATCACGGATTTCTGTGAAACATAGCAAATCTTTGGTGCTTTGCACCTTCATTAGAATGGAGGCGGTTAAGGCATTTAACGCAGAGGTGAGTTGACTTACCCTTGATTCTTCTTCTAGCCCGCCGACTCTCCCTCTTTTTTTCTCGTTTCTCTTTTTCTTTTTCTTTTTTCTTCTTACTTTTTGAAGTTGAAAGCGACACAATTTTGAAGTAAAAATTTAGAAAAAAATATTTCTTTCAATATTTTTACCGTTTGCTATATGAAAATTTGAGTGACTTTGGTCCTCAAGGAATGCTTTGATTTTTAGCTGTGTAAGAGAGAGGGAGAGACAATCTCTATACGTAAGAAAGAAGGAGAGAAATCAAAGAAAACCTTTATTGTGATTTAAAATATTTGTGATGCATAACATAATGCTCATTGTTATTGTGTACAATTTTTATAATTTTTATGATAAATGGAGAAGATAAATAAGTATCATTTATATATTTTAATGATGTTAATCATAGAAGGGAGAAGAATAAAAAAATAAAGATTTATGAAGAGATATTTGAAGAATATAAAGTAATTATAAGAAAAACTTGTTTTTTAATCAATCAATTAACATTTATGTGTGTTATTAAGTTTTGATTACTTACATGTACAGATTATAATTATATTTTTACAGGAAATAAATATATTAACTAACATTAGTATTTTTTCTTAATTATATTCTTAATTATTTCTTCTTAATTGTCTTATTCCTTTTATATTTATGAATTTAATAAATTATTATTTTGTGAGATTTAAATATATCTTCTTATCAATGTGTTAAATACAATATAATTGAATATAATGAATTTTTATTTATTTTTGTACATTATTATAATTGATTTAAAAATTTTTGTGAGTTTTAATAATAAAATGAAATATTAATTTAAATAAGTAGATTATATTTAACATTTTCTTTCTAGCTCTCAGCTCTGTATGATGTTAAACCACCAATTTCAAAAGCTAAAATGAATTCTTTAACTAGGGGTGCAATTAAAGCAATTAAGTTTTATAAACATGTTGTGCAAAGTGTTGAGAAATTCATTCAAAAAGTAAGTTACAAAAAGTAAGAAAACTTATAAGTTTAAACTGTAAAATATATGATTGATATATTGTTATATTCATATTAATTGTTAATTTCATATTACAGTGTAAGCCAGAGTACAAAGTGCCCGGATTGTACGTTATAGATTCAATTGTACGACAATCCAGACATCAATTTGGAGTAGAGAAAGATGTCTTTGCTCCACGCTTTGCCAAGAACATGCAAACCACTTTCTTAAACCTTTTGAAGTGTCCTCAAGAAGACAAAAGCAAAGTAATAAGAGTTTTAAATCTTTGGCAAAAGAATGCAGTTTTTCCTTCAGAGGTTATACAACCTTTATTTGATCTTGCGGATCCTAATCATCCAATACATAAGGAACAAGCAGTTAATACCAATGGTAAAACAAAAGTTATGAAATAGAATACAAAAATTTAAATAAAAGTTATCAAATAATAAATATTTCTTATTATTTGTAGGTACATTGAGTGTTTCTGCAACAAATAATGTTAGTAATACTGGAACTTCAGTAAAGACTCCACCTTTGACTGCAAAGAATGCAGTAAAGGATCAAAAATTATTTTCTTCCGCAAAGCCAATTGATCCTGCATGGCTTGCACAAACGAAAATGGAGACAGCAAATATAGTTAATGCTAATAAACTTTTAGTAAGTTTTGTTTTTACATATTTTTATGTGCATGTTTCATAAAATGGATATAGTTTATATTTTGTCTTCTCATTTCTTTTTTTCTTTTTTCTTTTAGGGGCAATCAAATTCAAGTCAAATGGATGTTTCTTTTCTTGATCAGTTACAACATTTACAACAACTTCTATTAAAGAAGCAAGAGTCTACAAATGAGCAAAAGAGTTCTGTAAAATTTGACAAGAAACTCTTAGATTTTGATTATGGTGAGGAAGAGGATGATGATGTTGTCATTGCTAATTCACCAGCAGCAACAGCAACGTCTAATACTGCTCAACATAATGCAGTTTCAACAGGAAATAGTTTAGAAAGTCTTGGTCTTCTTTTAACAAATCCAGAGGTACAAATTAATCTTTTACATGGATATAATTTAATTAAACAAAAATCTATACCTTATTTGAAATATAATTTTATTTGTAAATTACTTATTGAATTAATAATAGGTTTTGAGGCAACTTCAGACATTACAACAAACCATGCAAGGAAGTACTTCTTCATCACAACATGAGACAGAAGAAAAAATGCGGAAGCTTCAACAAATGAAACAACAAGAAGAAGAATTTGATAAACATCTAGCTCAAACTGTTCCTGTATGCCATTAACAATAAAAATATCTTTTTTTGTTTAAATACATAAAAGTACAGGAAGTTATCATTTTTGTGTATTAAAATCAATATTTATTTTTATTTTAGAATTTACCATTTGCATCGGAATGTGAACTAAAACCTTCAGACATATTGAAACCAAGTCAACAAAACACATATACAACAAATGTAAGTAGCGGAGTCATACAAGACATGAGTCAACCACCTCCTGGTTATCCACCGGCTCTACCGTATGCCTCTCAACCTTTATCAAATATTAGACAGATAAATCAGCAGGCGCATCAAAATCAAAAGAGTCCGCTTCTCGATGAGCGGCAAGATACACAAGATTATTCTGGGTAAATATTTCTTTCCAATTTCCTTTCTAGAATTTTGAAATTTAATTCAAATTTAATTTAGTTTTTATCATAATTTCAAAGCATTGTTTGATATTGCAACTAATATTTAATTATATGTCATTATTCATAGAAATGGTGCAAGACGAGATAGTAGCAGCGTAGAAATTGTAAATTGCGAAAACACAAGATCACAAAGTAGATCGCCTGATCGATACAGACATCACAGTCGGTCTAGATCACCACGCCATAGAGATAGAGATAGAGATAGGGATAGGGATAGGGATCGAGATAGAGACAGAGACAGGAAATCTCGATCAAGAAGCAGATCGAGAAGAAGAAGGTAATTTTACAAATTTTATATTCATATTGAAGGCAACATGTATTTACATATGTTTATTTATTAAATGTTAATGGAGATAAATTAGAAATTAATTAATATATAAATTACTTGTACTATGAATAATTGTTTATCATGTGCTTAAAGGTATCATTATATTACAGGTCTCGTTCAAGAGACAGAGGTCGTGATAGAAAACGAGAAGATAGTCGAGAAAAAATGACTGAAGAAGAACGGGAAAAAGAACGAGAAAGACGTAAACGAGGATTGCCACCAATTGTGAGAGACAAATTAAGCGGTAATTTATATCTGTTTTACCTGCATATACATTTACTTACTCATTGAAGTTTTTTTTCTGCTGTCTCTCTCTCTCTCTCTCTCTCTCTCTCTCTCTCTCTCTCTCTCTCTCTCTCTCTCTCTCTCTCTCTCTCTCTCTCTCTCTCTCTCTCTCTCTCTCTCTCTCTCTCTCTCTCTCTCTCTCTCTCTCTCTCTCTCTCTCTCTCTCTCTCTCTCTCTCTCTCTCGTGCGCGCGCGCGCGTGTGTGTGTGTGTGTATCTTTCTTTTTTCTTTTTTTCCCTTTATTCTTATAAGTTTAATACGTTTAATTTTAGTTTGTAGTACTACACTTTGGGTAGGACATCTATCAAAATTGGTACATCAAGAAGAACTCTCAGATACTTTTGGAGAATTTGGTGATATTGTCAGTATAGATTTAATCTCACCTAGAGGATGCGCCTTTATATGCATGAATAGAAGACAAGATGCATATAGGGCTCTTACAAAGCTCAAAAATCATAAAATGCAAGGAAAAGCAATCACTGTAAGTTAACATTTTATTATCTCCAAATATATTAATATACTCACGATAGTGTTTTCTTTTATTTATAAATATTTACAAATCGTAAGTCAGAAATGTTTTTAGATTAACAAAAGTTTTAATGTATTTTAGTTAGCTTGGGCACCAGGAAAAGGGGTAAAAGGAAAGGAATGGAAAGATTATTGGGAGGTTGAATTGGGAGTTAGTTATATTCCTTGGAATAAGTTAATTAATGTCACTGATCAAGATTTAGAACTATTAGAAGAAGGGGGTATGATTGATGAGGATACTTTACCGCCCAATCTAAAGGGTAATCAAAAAATATTATACTTTTGAATAATTTTGGAGTAATTCATATTAAATATTGTAAATTGTAAACATAATTTATAGGTAAATTAAAGCATTCCGGAACAAATGCTGA